CTTTCATTCATTTGATGTTATATTAATTTTTTTCTTTCATTTGTATTAATTTTTTTCCTCAACACTTTCATTCATTTGATGTTATATTAATTTTTCTTTCATTCATCAACACTTTCATTCATTTGATGTTATATTAATTTTCTTTCATTCATCAACACTTTCATTCATTTTGTTATATTAATTTTTCTTTCATTCATCAACACTTTCATTCATTTGATGTTATATTAATTTTTCTTTCATTCATCAACACTTTCATTCATTTGATGTTATATTAATTTTTCTTTCATTCATCAACACTTTCATTCATTTGATGAATATTCCTTACACTCTCTGGCTTATTCTTCTAATGTTATATTTATTGTATTGTATTCTTTTTTTAAAATTTTTTCAATAATTTCCCTTATGTATTTTTTTTATATTTCTATTTATTTATTTTTTTTATTTTTTTTTATTATTATTTTTTTTTATTTTATTTATTTTTTTTTTTTGCATTTAGTAATTCCCCCTTTTTTAATTTTTAAGTTGTTTGATATTTTCTACTACGTTTTTTTTGTAAAATTTTTCCTCTTTCTTCAGCTTCTGTACCATTAAAAGTGAATTTTGCGAAAAGTTTCCCGCCCCCCACTGCGACCATACAATATCACCCATATCATTTCCAAACTGTACATAGGGCAGTCTCAGCTCTAGACACAGTGATGTGGTGCATTGTAGTATCATGAACAACTTTGGAAGGAAAATAAATTCTCATTATTTAAAAAGAACGCATTTACAAAAATTTAAAGTAGTTCTTTATATAAATTCATACTATTCAACAAATTTACAATAGAATTACTGTTTGATAATCAAGATTGTTACATCTTTTCAATAAAGAAGACTTACGAGAATCATTGAATAAAAATAATATATTTTTGTAATAAAGCATATTTACAATTAAACATAACGTTTTCAATGTCAGCATAATTATTTAACATATCTGAATTTGTAACGTCATTTTCCAAGCACAAAAATTGTCTAGTATACGTAAGTATATTAGATTGATAAATATTAAATATATAACATCCTTTTAGCTCAATTTCCCAACAAGTTATGTTACTTTTATGTATCTGAAGAATGGCAAATTAAGTAACTTATATAATTTAAAAATAATTAAAATAAATAAAATATATTACTGACAATCGATATGAGTAAGGATAGAAATTTGAATTACAGAAAATTACTTATCTACTTAATGTACATAATCCATCAGTTATATTTTATTTGATAAATAACCCAAAATTTAAACGACAATTTGAAAATCAGAAAACTACTTCAGAAATATTACATAATATTTAAGTTACCAATATTAATCACTTAATTCATTATTTTATAGAAAATATATTAATATCAATCACTTTAAACAACAGTTCATTAATTCGTTATTTTACCAAAAATATGTTAATATCAATAACTTTAAACAACAATTTATTATTTCGCTATTTTATCAAAAACATATTAGCATCAATAACTTTAGACAACAGTTTATTAATTCGTTATTTTATCGAAAATATATTAAAATCAATAACTTTAAATGGCAGTTTATTAATTCGTTATTTAAACGAAAATATATTAACTATAACTTTAAAAACAATTTATTATTTCGTTATTTTATCGAAAATTTATTAATATCAATAACTTTAAACAACGGTTTATTAATTCATTATATCGAAAATATATTAAAATCAATAATTTTAAACAACAGCTTAATTTGTTATTTTATTGAAAATATATTAATATAAATACCTTAAAAAAAAAAATTATTAATTTATTATTTTATCGAAAATATATTAATATTAATTTTAAACAACAGTTTATTTATTCGTTATTTTATCGAAAATATATTAATATCAATCACTTTAAACAACAGTTTATTAATTAGTTATTTTATCGAAAATATATTAATAACAATAATTAGAAACAACGATTTATTAATTCATCATAATTCTTCAAAGGCATCAAAATAAACAAAGAACAAAACTTTCGCTATATTCCAGCATTGAGGGTTTATACAGATCCCTTGTGATCTGAGTTTTAAATTAAAGTTAACATTTTATCAAACACGTTGGATACTGCTACTCTACATAATGCTCCAAAGTCTTTCGTCCAACTCTCTACTATGACTTTCTCTAGACGCAAAAGCAGAATAATTATCTTATAATGAAGTTTGGAACATGCTCCAGTGGAGCATTCCAAACTTTTCCATCACTTACCCTTTTAATTTTTATTCCGGAAGGTCTCAATTTAAAACAAAGAACTTGGTTATTAAGCAGCAATTTTTACGAAACAGAATTTGTGCGCTGTACCGGTAAAGATTAAGTAAAGCTGTAATTGATATCACACACGAACGCCTGAATAGCATGTATTTAAAGTCTCATTTTAATCCTTTTATAAAGCAGTAAACAACGTGGCTTAAGAATTGTTCAACCAGGGGCATTTTCATTTAAGAACAAGTAAGATTGTTTACATTTTTAAATATTGCAATCCATTTTTCAATTCCTACTATTACATCTTTCTATTCATTCCTATTCCTAGTTCACACACTCGTTATATATATATATATATATCTTGTTCAAATTTTTAATGACTAATAAAATACTTTTTTATTCCTCCACTCAAGTTCAAATACATTTTTGAACTTGTAGTGGATGATGTTAATACAGTTTTTCAAATATTAATTCATTAATTAAATTTAATTAATTAATTTTAGTTTTTTAGATTTAAATTGCATGTATCTCCCAACAGATGGCGCGATGTAAAAGTGGAAAAAATGTCAACCTTATTTTATAAAAGGGCTTTATAAGATAAAGTGAAAAAAAGATAGGAATTGACTTTAATTTTTTTTTTTTTTTAGTAAAACAAGTTGCAAATATTAGTCTTTATGGCAAAACTCAGTAGAATTTATTTTTTAACAAAAATTTGAAATCTAACAACTGTCATGGGTCAATTCTAAAAATTTTTAATAATAAATTTGACGATTGCTTTATACTGAATTGGATATCGATCTGGAGACGGACGAAGCCTATGGGGTTTGGGAAAAGTTTAAGTGAAAGGTTATCATGAAACCATTTAGATACGACATTTGTTAGTAACTAAAGAATTCTGCTTATTTTAAAAAGTTCTACAAAAATCTTAAAAACATAATTTTAGGTATTTAATTTTTATTTTAATATTGCATTTTAAATTATGGTATAATTTCTGCATTTAATACCACACTAATTCAAGTATAATTCATGTTCTGTATTTTTAATACTATACTAATTCCGTTTAATACTACATTTCAATTAGTGTAGAATTAAATTCATACTCTTAATTATATTTAAATTATTGTTATATATTCCCGAATAAAACGCAGAATTTGAATTATACTTGAATTAGTGTAGTATTAAATGCAGAACTTCAAGTATAATTCAAATTCTACGTACATTACTACATATTATTGCAGTAATTTACTAAGTATAATTCAAATTCTGCGTTTATTACTACATTATTATTGCAGTAATCTTAAGTATAATTCAAATTCTGCGTTTATTACTACATTATTATTGCAGTAATTTAAGTATAATTCAAATTCTGCGTTTATTACTACCTTATTATTGCAGTAATTTAAGTATAATTCAAATTCTGCGTTTATTACTACATTATTATTGAAGTTTATTACGGAACTATAAGTTTTGCACCATTATTATTGCAGTAATTTAAGTATAATTCAAATTCTGCGTTTTCATTACTACATTATTATTGCGGTAAATTTTGGTATGGTCAAATTCTGCGTTTATTGCTACACTTAGAATTTGTGAGGTGCATGGTATTCAAATGCAGAACTTGTAAAATGTCAAGTATATGTATGTAGAGATTTGAATTATTAATTTACATTTGATTATGGTTTATATATTATGTATATTCATGTAGTTTGCATAATGGTGATTTTGCCTCAATAACTTTTTCATTGCTGGTTCATTTTTACATTTGGAAATGCAATATTTTTATTTCATTTAGTGAGAAATGTTCAATTTAAAATGTTGAGTGAAAAATTCATGCCAGGTATTTATCAAGCATTTTTGATACAAAAACTAAATTATTTATTTTTATTGAGCGGGTTAGTTTGCTAAGTTCGTGAAACAGAACTTATATTCAAGGTAAAATATTAATAATCACTTTTAAAAATTAATTAATATTAATGTTGAATGTCAAATCCAATATTTTTCATTCATGTATTTTGTCTAATTATAATTTGTAAAGTACCATTTGTACAGCAAGTATTTAAAAAATAAAGTAAATACATATCGGTAGAGGACAGATATGATTGCTATCATGTCTAAGCGAATAACGACTTCGTCTTCTATTTATACAGAACATATCTTGAGTTTTTTGCTGACGCCAGCTATCACAGATAATACTATACATGTTAAGAACTAGTAAAAATGTCCCTTTATAACAAAAAGATAAATCTCCGTATATATCGACGTTTCTTAGTCTATGTGGAAACATGTGTTTTTCGCTATGTGTTCAGTATGTATTAGTGGCGAAAGGGTATCTAGTTAGTGCTTACATAGCAAAGAATGATCCAACAAATAGTCTAAGGATAATCCAAACTGTGTTTTTCGGAATAAAAGAGTAAAAATATTGTATTTTTTTTCTAAATGTAATAAAAATGCATGCTTGAGAGATTCATTTAAATTCTTGTTGGTTGTTGTTTCTTATCGCTGACTGTTAAGCCCACGAGCCCATGCACGGACTCATGATTGAGAAGGAAGCAGCTTCTGTTGTGATGGAGCACCCCCGTAGGTAGCAGCCCTGACCTTTGCTCCGTGACGCTCTTACAGTCATAGAAGACGGACCCTACGACTAAAGTGATTCCGAACCACTACAAACATCCATGGCACCGCCGGGATTCGAACCGGAACCTGTGGCACTGAGCGCCGACGGAGCGCCAGACACTCGGCCATTCAGTTCACAATTTTGCCAACGGCACGCAGGTGTTCTAGGTGGTCACCCACCCAAGTACTGACGCGCCTACTGGTGCTAACTTTCGGTGATCTAACGAGAACCGGTATATTCTAGCATGGTACGGCCGTTAGCTTTGCAAATTCTTTGAATTAATAAATAATAATAAATTATTTTTCAAATCAAAATACATAGTTCTCGGTGAGAAGAATTCCTGAAAATGCAAGTTGAGGAAACATAAGATCAAATAAAGTGGTACAAAAAGCTTAATAATTCGGTAGCAAAATAATAAATTCATTTATTCAGCCGTAGAATTATTTCTGTAAATGAAAGTGCATATACTTTTAATCAAAATAAAATAATGTTACGCTGTTTCTTTCTTGTCGTTTAAGGAAAATAATATTTTTTGGGGAGAGAGAGGACCTCTACTTTCTTAACCTGTTATTTCATAGTTTCATATGTTTTCAAGCACTTCTTGTATACTGAGTGACAAAAAGTCATGCGGATACTCTTAATATCGTGTTAGGCCTCTTTGCCCGGCAAGGTTGCATCAACTATCATGAGCATTGGCGTGAGGATCAACAGCTCGTTGAGTCTTCTGCGGGAATATTGAGCCATGCTTTCTGTCCGATAGATGTCCATAATTGTGAAAGCGTTGATGGTGCAAGATTTTGGGCACGAACAGACCTCTCGATGATGTCCCATAAATGCTCGATGGGATTCATGTCCGGGCGATCTAGGTTGCCAGATCATTCGTTGGAATTGTCAGAATGTTCTTCAAACCAATCGCGAACAGTTGTGGCCCGGTGACATGGCGCATTGTCATCCATAAAAATCCCATCGTTGTTTGGGTACATGAAGTCCATCAATGGCTGCAAGTGATCTCCAAGTAGCTGAACATAAGCATTTCAGTCAATGTTCGGTCCAGTCGCACCAGAGGACCAAGTCCATGCCATGAAAAAACAGCCCACACCATTACGGGCCACCACCAGCGAACAGTGCTGACAGTTTGGGTCCATGGCTTCGTGGGGGTCTGCGCCACGCTCGAACCCTACCATCAGCTCTCACCAACTGAAATCGTGACTCATCGGACCAGGCCAGGTTTTCCATTCATCTAGGGACCAACCGATATGCTCACGTGCCCACGGGAGTCGCTGCAAGCGATGTCGTTCTGTCAGTAAAAAGGCACTCGAGTCGGTCTTCTGCTGGAATAGCCCAAGAAAGCCAAATTTCTCCGCACAGTTCTAAATAACAGACAAGTCACTCGTACGTCCCACATTGATTTCTGCGGTTATTTGACGCAGTGTTGCTTTTCTGTTATCTTTGACTCTTTGCGAACGTCGCCGGTCTCGGTCGTTAAGTGCAGGCGGTCGACCACTGCGCTGTCCATGGTGGGATGTTATGCCTGAAATTTCATCTCGGCACACTCTTGACACAATGGATCTGGGAATGTTGAATTCAATAACGATTTCCGAAATGGCATGACCATGCGTCTAGCTCCAACTAACATTCCTTTTTCAAAGTCTGTTAATTCCCGTCGTGCGGTCATCATCACGTCAAAACCTCTTCACATGAATAAGTTGAACAGAAATGAAAGCTCTGCGAAAGCACTGCGCATTTATACCTGTTCTACGCGATGCTACTGCCATATGAAAATTTGCATATTGCTATCCTATGACTTTTGTCACTTCAGTGTATATCGGAGATTTGTCCTGAAAATCTTCTTGACAACAATGATATTTTAGATTTCTGGTTAGAGTACAGTATAATTATCCTATTATTACGAAACAAAAGCATTTTTCAACAAAACCCAGAGCATATATTCAATTGAGATCTTAAAAAATCGTAAAAACCTTCATTTAATTCAAATCAAACCATTAGTTACATGTAAAAAAATTTCTTTAAAAAAAATCTTCCTTAATATATATTTTAAACATTTACATATTAATAAGGGTAGGTAATTTATTTATAAATAAAAGATCAATTAACTTTAGCTAACTAAGACAACTACAAATTTTTCAGATTGTTTCGGAATGTCAAAAAGTCCTAAAATACCTACTAACTTTACCTAACTAAAATTACTACAGAATTTGTAGGTTGTTTTTAAATGACATAAAATTCTAAAATATATATTAACTTTATCTAACCAAACTAATTACACATTTTGCAGATTGTTTCTGAATGTCAAAAAGTTCTAAGATATCTATTAACATAAGTTAACTAAAATAATTACACATTTTGTAGATTGTTTCTGAATGTCAGAAAATTCTTAAATATCTCTTAACATTAGTTAACTAAAATAATTACAAATTTTCCAGATTGTTTCTGAATGTCATAAATTTCTAAAATAACTAATTAAATACCTAATTAATTAAAAATAATTAATTTCAAAATATCTATTGACTTTAACTAAAATAATTACAAATTTTGCATTTTTTTCTGAATGTCAAAAAATTCTAAAATATCTATTAATTTTTTTTTTGTAAATGTCAAAAAATTCTAAAATATCTATTAACTGAATCTATCTAGTTGAAATAATTACAAATTTAGTAGATTGTTTTTAAATGTCAGAAAATTCTAAAATTCTCCTTACAACACAAAATGTTATTTGAGAATAGATTCCCAAATCTATAATTTTGCGAGCAAGAAAAGCAAAAAAAAGAAAAGTAGAAACACGATCTAGTTTATTTCCAGAAAATACAATTCCGAGTTAAAAAGACATGAGAAAAGCAATTCGTGACCTTCCATGCCTTTTACACGATCAGATTATGGGAATGGATTACATTTTCTTCCATCAAAACGCACAAGAGGCATTCCTTCACAAACAGCTAACCTTTAGCGCGAGGCGTTTCGGCAACAGCAAAGCTCTTTACTGGAATAGCAGTTGCAGTTTGCAGTGAACGTAGCCAGATTAATAACAAATGTTGCTAGTATCACAAAGAATTGGGCTCTCTTTTATTTATTTATTTTTTTTGAGCATGTATTTTTAGAGTGTGAATCCAAAACTTATCTCGCAGTTTTGTGTATCTCTCAGAATGATACCTATATTATTTTTTCTTGTTTGGAGTACGTAGCTCTTCTGTGATGTACTGTGAAAAGAAAATCCTACAGAAGATAAAAGTGGACATAGAGATAACTTTTATGATGACTATAGTAGAAGTATGTTTAGATTTGAGGAAGGAGTGTGAAATTTGTTATTAGACGAGTTTTATTCTTTATTTCATTATTTTTTTTTCGTGTAATGTGAGAAAAAGGAGCATGAATTTATGATCAAATCCTATGCAAATGCTATCCGATTTTTATAAGTGCTGATGAAATTTCTATGTTAAAGTATTTTTTTGTGTGGATTAGTTTTGTTTTGTTTGTTTTTTATTCCGCTTGGTAGACAGTAACATATAGACCAAGTCCAAGAACCCCTGCGGTCTCATGGAAGGAGGAAAGAGGAGAGACAGTTTCTGTTGTGATGGAGCACCCGCAAGTAGAAGTCTAACTTCGCTCTGTGGCGATGACTTTTTACGTGATAGAGTTGTCAGCCTTACGACCAACGCTCTACAGTCATATTAGGCAGGTACCTACGGCTTAAAGTAGATTGCGAACCACTACAAACGTTCACGGTACGGCCGGGACTCAAACCCAAAACTTGTGGCATTGAGCGCCAGAGTACTAGCCACTCAGCGTCCTGCAGTGCAGGACGAACATACAATGAGTAATCTACTCATAGACAGAAGGAAAGTGGCAGCTTCTGTTGTGACAAATATCTATTAACTTTTAATAAATAAAAATAAATAGATTTTAATAACTTTAAATAAATAGATTCCGAAATATCTAGTAACTTTAGCTAACTAAAATAATTACAAGTTTTGTAGAATGTTTCTGAATGTCAGAAAATTTTAAAATATCTAGTAACTTTAGCTAAGTAAAATAATTACAAATTTTGCAGATTGCTTTTAAATGTTAGAAAATACTAAAAAATCTCTTCACAACACAAAATGTGATCTGAGAATAGATTCCCAATCTATAATTTTGCGAGCAAGAAAAGCAAAAAAAGAAAGAATAGAAGTAGAAACACGATCTAGTTTATTTTCAGAAAATACAATTCCGAGTTAAAAAGACATGAGAAAAGCAATTCGTGACCTTCCATCCCTTTTACACGATCAGATTATGGGAACGGATTACATTTTCTTCCATCAAAACGCACAAAAGGCATTCCTTTACAAACAGCTAACCTTTAGCGCAACGCTTTTCAGCAACATCAAAGCTCTTTACTGGAATAGCAGTTGCAGTTTGCAGTGAACGTAGGCAGATTAATAACAAATGCTACTAGTATCAGAAAGCATTGGGCTGTCTCTTTTATTTATTTATTTATTTTTTTGAGCATGTATTTTTGGAGTGTGAATCCAAAACTCATTCTTATCTCGCCGTTTTGTGTGTCTCTTAGAATGATACATATATTATTTTTTCTTGTTTGGTGTATGTAGCTTTCTGTGATGTACTGTGAGAAGAAAATCCTACAGAAGATAAAAGTGGACATTGTGATAACATTTATGATGACTATAGTAGAAGTGCGTGTAGATTTGTAGAAGGAATGTGAATTTTGTTGTTAGACCAGTTTTATTCAGGATTTATTCATTTTTTTTATGTAATTTGAGAAAAAGGAATGCATTTTATGTATAAATCCTATGAAAATGCTATCTGATTTTGATGATGCTATCTGCTATCTGATTTTCCGATGAAGTTTCTAAGTTAGAATATTATTTGTGTGGATTACTTTTTTTGTTTGTTTCTTATTCCACTTAGTAGACAGCAAAATCTAGGCCAAGTCCAAGAAAGGTCTTGAACTTGGTCTCATGGAAGGAGGGAAAAGGGTGGGGAACAGCTTTCGTTGTGTTGGAACTCCCACGGGCAGACGTCAGACTTCGCGCTGTGGCACTGACCTTTTTACGGGGTAGTGTTGTCATCCCTATGCTCAACGCTCTACAGTCATATTAGACCGTTAGCTAAGGCTTAAATAGATTACGAACCACAACAAACGTCCATGACACAGCCGGTACTCAAACCCAAAACCTGTGGCACCGAGCGCCAGAGTACTAGCCACTCGGCCACTCAGTGTCCTGCAGTGCGGGACGGACATA